TGCAAAATTTAGGCCAATAAATGTGAACAATTTCATTTTAAATTGCTGACTTGTGTTTCTTAGCCTTTTAAGCATTAGTTCGCTTTTAGTTCACAGGGTGTAACATTCCGTGTAGTGCTGAACCGTGTGCTGATATGGGGCCTCCTTACGCCAATCAAACGTTTTTCACACACCCTCATAAATTATTACTTATCTTGTTGTCACTAGTGACAACAAAAAAACGCATGTTAGTTGCACAGTTTGTAACCTCGTGGCTAGCGACAAGGCTCTTAGGCTCATAGCGGTAACCTCATGATGTTTCGCGTCTATGAGAAAATAGCTGCCCCTAGTTGTCAACTTCTCCAGGGTGGTTAGTACACAAAGACATGACTGTATTCAAAGCGTACCCATAGAGCCCGCTTACATGATGAAAAAACCCTATGGCCCCCGAGTCTCTTGTCTTGGAACTCTTGGAAAGACGAAGACTATCAGGCATTGATTGATATTTTTCTTAGGAAACGTTCCAACCGTGAAAACGGCTACAACTGTCATTTATTGACGGGTCCGTTTTTTCGCGTAATGAAAACGTGCTAATAGACTCACAGACGCCATCCGAATAGACTTAAAAGAGGTGCATGCAAGAAGCCCCAAGCGACTTTGACAAACGTGTTGGATACAGAAAACACAACGATCCGACTGAACTATTCTGTGCCAACACTAAATATTTTCAACAAAAAGGTGGCCACTCACTTGTACGAAATTTTAACAAGAAATGAAAATTGGAAATACAAAATGTTGTTTTCCCCCAAAATGTAATTTACTTTAAGGCATTTGGGGCATTTTTTTTGCAGGTAAGGGAAACCACTGAGGCCGCTAGATTCAAACAATAAAATGGAACATCTCCTTCACGTGCTTTAGATGGCCCTCTTTAAATTTGGTAGAAGTGTCACTACCAGTTTTTAGCATTCCCTTCCAAAAGTAGGGGTGGCGCTTAATAATACACTTCTTGTTGGCGCAGTAGAATCGTTCTGTTTCTTTGCTCCATGTTGGTTCCATGCGCAGCAACTTTCCATTTCCATCCTTTTTGGGGTACAGGTACCTTTCCATGTGGAGAACTGCGATATCGTGTGGTATGCAGACAACTCCTTCCCGTGCAAACTCTACCTTGCATGATTCGCACCGCTTCACTTTTACGTGATCCTTAGTAAAAACAACTACAAAGTCTTTTTTGTTGTGCCAAATGTCAGTAAATGCCAGAGGCTTTTGAAAGTCTATATCTTCGTTTTCAGGGAGGGCTTCTTCACTGATTGGCCTTTATAACGCATGTTTTTCCCTTTCTTCTTCTTTTTCTCCTTCGGTTTTTCTCCAGCTCTTTGGGGAATGTGTTTAAAGGCTTCCACAGTTTGTATTCGATCCAGGCAGTGCAACAAATCGAGAAGATCTGAAACCTGAACATCAAGACCGAATGGCAAGAAGTCAAAACATTCATATTCCATCATTATAGCCACCGGTTTTAGGACAAACAGCAACAAACTCTGCGACTTTAGGATGCCGTAGATTTTGCAACATCTTCGCCTCCTTTGCTACGATCTTCAGATTTGAGTCTCCCTCACCGAAAAATCGCTTTACCACCACGGTTTTCTTCTCGGGAATGCAGTTTCCCTTCATCACGGACCCGAAACTTCCCTTCCCTATTTCGTCCTTGTCTGTGACATTGGCCCGTCGAAAATTAGGAATATCGTGAAAGTAACCCTTCGTGAGTGATAAGGAATCGAGAAGAGGTATCTTGAAAGCCATGCTGGGCTTCAAAATAAGAAGCGCTGAAGAACACTGTTGTAAATAATGTTTGCTAGCACATGGACAGACGCCGGTCTCACATGCATGACCCCAAAGCGCAGGAAAATTTCTCACGCAATGCCTCGCGTGACGAAAGAAAGACAAACATTTCGCAAAGTATCATTTAGCAAATTACCAAAATCAATTTATTTGTTTGATTTGCTTTAATTGTAATTCATATATGGTACTCATAGTAACTAAGAAACAAATTTACAAGAAAAACGCTCTGAAACGCTCTTTTCACATGTTTGCGTGTGAAAGATGCGTCCGCAAAATTTACACGTGTTACACAGAGGACACTAAAATGGTTCATACACAACATTCAAGTCACCTAATTCCAAGATGGCGTCTGGTAATACATGCTGCTCTTAGGAAACAGACTTAATGGGGAAATTTGCTCCAGGTTTATCTTTACAAATCTTCAGCTTTCAGTGGGAAATCATTAAGCATTGTGTTGTAACCGTTTCGCAAAGTACCGTTTCACAAACTACCATTTCGCAAAGTACCGTTTCGCAAAGTACCATTTCGTTTTGTTTCGTTTCGTTTCGCAAAGTACTGTAAGCCTCCGAAAATCAGTTATCTGAGTATAACAAACTTTGAAGTAAAGAAAGAAACAAACAATAATTTACCTTTCTCATCCATCCAGCCCTTCTTGTGGAACCATACACGAACAGAGTCTGGAGCAGCGAGGTCTCGGGGTGTGCGTACTCCTTTGAAGATCACTGCAGGTGGTAATTTGCTGCCATCAGTGGTGACTGCGAGTGTCACTGTAAAGCTCCTCTTCTTGGCACCATAGGACTTCACTGGAATGGTTCTGCTGCCACCGAATTCAAGGGTTCTGCTCAATGGAAGCTCAAATCGCATGGGGGTTTCATCCATATTGAAGATCCTGGATAGCAAATAGCCATGGTGCTGCCGAGCTGCAATCACGAACTGATGGAACTAGATTGTCTTCTCTTCCAAATCTTGAGGAAGTCGCTGGGCCAGGGTTGTCTTAGTTCGAAAGCTGATGGCATGGCGCTTTTTCCAATTCTGGTACCAACCCAGGGAAGCTTTAAACTCTGGATCGCTGCTCAATTCCTTTGCCTTCCACCGAAGAATTAATCCGCTAACTGCAATTGCTGTAAAAGACAAAACGAGTAGCAATATTTTTAGATCACTGTTTTGACTTGGGTTATATTAAATTCATCTTACCTGTGATCTGTTGTTATTTTCAGTTAAGTGACCAGTAACATTAAATGTGTTATAATGAATATATCAATAAATGAATATTCATTTTACCATTGCGTGTTTCCGGAGAAGGACGCTTCTTTTGTTTTACGATTTTCGGTATGTTTATTCACTTAACAGTGCATGTGGAAAAGAAATATTCGATCTCGGCTTATAGCTAGATGTTTTGGGTTTCCTTTTCATAATTTTCTAACAGGTTCTGATACCCAGGTTCTAACAGGTTCTGATACCCAAAGTTTAGGGTTTTGGCTTATACCTGAGATCGGCTTATAGGCGAATAAATACGGTACCTATTATAGTTGTTGTGTTTACTAAATAATGAAACGAAATTAAAATACTTCATTATACAATACAATACAATAATTTATTTACCCACATTATTATCGAAGAGGACAAGTGGTCATTCAAATTATGAACGTGCATTAAATCTACAATTACAGTAATATCTAATATTTAAAAAAAAGTTAAATATATAATCTCCCACGTTAGTGGACATTGTTCCCTGTTTTCATATTTGTATATCATAGAATGTAACCGTCGTTGTGGTCAGTTGCATGATGACTGCTTTGTGAGAAGCATGAAACTTAGAGTTGCAAATAAATGTGTTTGAATTAGTCCGACTCCAGAAATCTATATTATATTCACAGCTCTGGTTTGCCATCGAGCACTTTTATATTTATAGTAGATGAAGTCTTCAGTTTATCTGCTGCTAGTCATAATCTATAATCTATGTACACATGAATATAACAAGTTTAAAATATAAAATTACAGCTGAATTGATCCTAGCTTAGACTTAAAAATATTAACATTATCCGCCATCTTGACATCTTCTGCGAGTTTATTTCAGTTGAGCGCACTTGTAAGTAAAAGAGTTCCTCATAAAATTAAGATTAAATTTGGGAACGCAAAGATTAACACCATTTCCTCTTAAATTGTGAGACGTTTCTCTTATGCTAAAAAAGGCTGTCATCTATTTCGGCCCTATATTTCTAATGCGTTTAAATAATAGGATCAGAGATTGCTGCTTTTTCCTACACTCTAAAGTGTCCAACTTACATATATGTAAGAGTTCTTGGTAAGACAATGATTTCCCGTGCTCTGTCAGTGTCATTATATATAATTGGTGTCTTCAATTTTATTGGCCTGGACTTTCCCCACCCCTAACAGGAGGGGACTACAGTATTCTAGATGTGGTAAAATGAAAGACTTGTACAATGCTAGCATAACATCCATAGGTACAATACGCCTTATTCTCCTAAGTGGGCCGGTCTTCGCATACGCGTTTTTTAGCTGACTAGAAATATGCTCCATAAAGTTTAACATGCTATCAAGTTCCACACCCAAGATTCTAAGAGGGGGAAGTTTAGTAACACCAGAACGGTTCAAAGTTAAGTCAAAATCGTACTTGCAAGGACCAATTGAAAGGGCTTGCATCTTGGCATTGTTTATCAACAAATAGTTTGCATTGAACCACTCCAACAGGCGGCTGAGACCCTGGTTCACAACAAATTGTAGGGCAATGGGCGAGACATCTGATGCATAGAGTCGTGTCATCAGTGTATAATCTCAAAGACAGGTCCTGGACCGCGTAATTTAATTTTCGAAAGATATTTTCTGATTCTGCCAATAGAATAAAATGAATGCAAAAGAGTGCAAACAGGTGCATGACTCAACTGACTCAAGCATGACTCCAAGATCTTTGACAACACTAGTAGATTGAACTTAATGATCACCCACTGTAATCGAAGCAACTAGTTCAACAGGTGAAAATTGCGAAGAGAAGTGGATTATCTCAGTTTTTGACACAGTACAGTTAAGGTTATTGCGTAAATTCCAACTCATGATATCATCTAGATACAAAGTGAGATTTTCTAAAGCATTGACGTGGTACACTTTACGCATAAAAATGTATAACTGGGTGTCATCAGCATACATCATTTCGTCAAAAGTGTGTGCGGAGAGGATATCTTCAAGGGGGCGGTATATAGTGAGAATAACAGCCATCTGAGGATGGACCCTTGAGGGACACCAGAGGACAAATATCTTGGTCGAGAAAGAATCCCATTGAGGGCAATGCATTGAGGACAATCTTTAAGGTACGGGAGGGGGAGTAAATCCAATGAATAACCATTTCGGAAAAGCCATAGCACGATACCCAAACCTATCGAGAAGAATAGAATGGTCTTTTGTGTCGAAAGCCGCGGATAGATCTAACAACACTAGAACAGCTATAGTTTGCCGATAGTTGGCAAAGGCATCAGCATCAAGGTTGTCCTTTTCTTATCAGAGGCCAAATCAGTGACTTCTTGAAGAAGAGAGGAAAATGCCCTGATCCACCTGAAAGAGGTAGAGCATGATACATTAGTCACACATTTAGGCCAAGAGTAAGGTTGTTGAGAAAGAGAACGAGAGCTCTCAGAGAGAGCTCTGTTTTTAATTTTGTCGGGATGCCTACAATAAGCAAAGCGATGCAAGCTCACACTCTGTTCCTGGTGTACCAACAACAGATGGGTGGGACCAGTAACAGAAAGAATCCCTCAGCCTGTGCCAGACAAGCAAAATCCCGGGCACTTTATGGATGTGTACGAAACGCCAACAACAGGTCGTGCTCCAGACGATTATCAACTGAAGAAATGTCTGAAGGACTTGTGCAAACAAAACGCCATCTCTGCGGGAATCCAAATACCATCGCTGCTTGCTGTGCAACCTATAGTGTCGAGGAAAAGCATGTCATTGAATACCTAGGCCATCTAAATGATATCAACTTCAGGAAGGATATTCGAACAAGAGAAGCTAAGGAGAAAAAAAGGTTAGAAGAGGAACTAACATACAAGGACTACCAGTGGGGCATACTTATTGAGAATGGCAAAGTTGAAAAGCTGAAGGTGAGACAGCTCGACCTGTACCTTAAGGAACATGGCCTGACCACTGTTGGTATAAAGTTGGACAAGATAAAGGCAATTCGCTACCATTACTATCGACAGAGAAGTCCAGGCAACGGGAATGAGTTGTCCAGAAGTGAGGAAGAGAGTGAAGAATCAGATACGGAGTTAGATGATGACGAGGATAGCGAAGATGATCTTGTCATTGCTGATCTCGATGAACAGTCAACTGTTCGTATGCCAGTTTTAACTTTTGTACCAGATGACCAAATAGCTGAAGTTACTGTACAAGCAAACACTGGATGAAAAAAAAAAGGAAAACAAAAAGAAAACAAACAAAAAAACGAACAAAAAAAATTATAACATGTGAGCAAAGCTACAAAGGCTGATCTGTTACACTATTGATGAAAATAAAAAAGGAGACAGGAACAGTGGCTGAACCTAGCCCTTCCAGATGGCGGAATTGTCGCTAAATATGACCTGCTGGTAGGGACTTGGCCGACTGCTATTTGGCACTCTAAAAAAAGTAACTTTGCAGTTTCAAGCACTGATTGCAGTTTCAAGCACTTTGCAGTTTTAAGCAAGATTGCTTGTATGTCAACTGAATTCAGATGTCTGGATCCAGACTAGAAAAAGACACGGATCAAGAGACACTTTTAAAAAAAGACTGCGCGATGACGGCCTTATTATGCTGTAAGTACATCACAGTTAGAAATACTACCTGTATATGAACGTTTAAAACACTAAATATACACGTCGAAAGGTGAGTATGGGTACAAAGACATGAGGGGGGATCACTTCAATAAAATAACATTTAAAGGGGGGATCGGCTAAATTTCATCGTCTTTAGCCCAAAATCCTCCGACCCGTCCCCCCCCCCCCGGCGATGAATAATGACCTGTCCCTAATAAGGCAAAATATGAATTGGGTGATTGCAATAAACCGATGGTACTAACTTACCAACAGCGAAATGTCTATTGTGTGCACTGATGAATTCTCGAAATGCATCAGCCTCTTGGGTGGGAATTAGAACTGTGAACTTTACAACAGAAACCCACTAGTATTAATATTTATAATGCATGCAATGATTCGAGGAACAAATTACCAGGATCACCTTTAACATGCCCTCTCCTTCAGCCATTTGCAAAACACAGAATTGTAGCAAAGCCCTGAATTCTAGCGACAGACACCGTACCAATAACCTGACAAACGACTGTGGCCGGGTGACGAAGGAATTTTATTGTAATGATATCTAACGTGGCCTATTGACGTGAAACAGACGCATTTTGGACATGAAGCTGTGATAGGATTTGTTTTACTTATTTCATACTGTGATATAATTAATACTCAAAATTTCAATCACAGCAATGGTTTGACGTTGTGATTGGAGGCACATTCGCTAATTACGCCGAATAGAGAGACTGAAAGAATAGATTGGAGGAAGTTTTATTTAGAACCATTCTTTCTTATATATTAACAAGGCGTTGATAAGATATGCACAAATGCAATTGTTTTCCGTGGTTGTCGGAGAAGGTCACGTTTAGGACTCGGGAAGAGGGTTGCGTAACTGTCGCTTTAAAGAAGGGTTTAAAAAAGTTAAGTAGCTGATTGGTCAGTGTGTGTAGTCAATTTCTGATATGATAATTGTAGCAAACATCTTGTCCACAGGTTCTAAATTGATGACGGATTTCTTTACTTCGAAATCAAAAGGAATCTCTGGTGTTCAGAGCAGTACAGCTTCCAGTAGTGTTTCAAGTGTTTCTTCCAGCTCTTTACAGTCCTCACTATTATCATCTCTAATGACAGAAGAAAATATGGACAAGGTGAGTAAGCTAGGGGTAGGCATATAACACAATACTGAAAACATAAATTCACTTTACATGAAGAAAAAAGGTTATTGTACAACATATGAGTGCTTGAAGTGTGTTAACAAGGGCTGTCACTTCTATTGAAAGTTTATTACCTGATTGTTCTTATTTATCAGATTGTATCTGAAACAAAAGATCAAACAGAAAGAGAATTTCGCTCCAGGCTGAGGAGATCTATTGTGGCATCAAGTACCGCATCTGTTTCGTCCGCAAAGCGAGCTAGATTAGAAGAACCACAACAATCTAATATTCCTGTAGAGAAGATAGTAATTGAAAATAACCTTAAGTTTGGAGAACGAGAAATACAAATGATGAAGTCTGTGAAAGAAGTATTGTTTGCATCTTCCGTCTCGACAACCAATTCGATATCTGTTGTGGTAGGCCAGATGAGGATGAGAATGTCTGAGTTGGAAGAACAATCTATGCGTTTCTGCAAGAACCTTTTGGATATGACAAACACAACCCCAAGCATGGCAATGAGCATGACAACTATCCAATCCTTGCTTCAGCACACGGTTGAGGAGCACGCCCTTGATGAAGTTTATATTGCCAAAATCTGTGAACTTCAGGATCAGTTAAGAAATAAGGATATGGTCATGGAGGAATTGAAAACGCTTGTCACAGAAAGAGATGTAAACCGGTTTGTTCCTGACATTGTAATCAAAGTAGCGTCTCTGTTGGATAATCCAAGTGATGACTGTGCTATTCTTGCATCGATTTTGAAAAACTTAGTTGAAAACCAAGCAAAAAATGTTAAGCGTTGGAATGAAGAGACAAAATCGCTTTTCGCAACAATTTTAGACAATGGAGGTCCACCTCTTGCCAGGATTGTTACGGAGAAGTTGAGTGGGCCCAGTCTTCAGACAATGTATCGCAGTGCAAGGTCCGACTATGCTATACCAATGACATTACAAGAGCGCACATTAGAACGGGCAGCACATTTATATCAATCAATTGGTTATCGTGGAGTGTTTGCTCTGGCAGTAGACGCAACATTCGTACCTTAAGAGTGTGGAGAGACCGCATTGTCGGGTTGGCAACGGAAGATGAAGTGGTTGTTTCAACAGCTCAGGAGATTATCGATATAGTGAATAACAAAGATTTTGAAAAAGCACAGCAAGCCAACGCATTTATGTTAACACCCTTACAGGAACACATTCCTGGGTTTGTCTTAGCTGTATACAAAGGACAAGACCATGCACTCGTGAGACACTGGATTAACCAGGTTACATTATGGGGTGGGCGTAACGATATCATGGTTATCAGGCTGGGAGCTGATGGAGATTCTAAAGTTCGAAAATATTACGTTGAAACATTTAAAAAAAGTCATGGCGAACGAAATGATGTCATTAACATAGACAACGAATCATTTCAATTCAGTAGTGTGGTCCAAGATGTAACAGAAATGGATGTGGCTAAACAAATTCCCACGCTTACGTTTGCAGACTGGAGACACCTCATGAAAAAATGGAGAAGTCAGATTCTCAATGTGAGACACGTTCTTGTTCTTGGAAAGGGTGTTGTCCAAATCGAACATTTAATGAAGACGTATCAGATGAACAGGATTCAGTGTGGACTATGGAAAAGTGACGTCTTTGTGAAAGATAAACAAAATGTTGACGCTGCCCTTATAATTTTACAAGACGAAGTGCGAAGCTGTATGAAAGAATGGAAAGACGAAGAAACTGCTGCAACAAGAGTATACTTGAAAATGGGACAGTGTAGTTTACACAGTTATACTGAGCGCGATATTAGTGTCAAAGAGAGGACTAAACTTGCTTGGGCTTTAGTTGTATTCCTAAGATATTGGAAAGCCTGGCTACAAATTTCAGGTTACAGTGTTGAGAATCATTTAATTTCCTCACAGACCTTCGACGACTCTATACTTTCAGGACATTCCTTAGTTTTGGCGATGAAGATATTTTCCATTTATTTTCCTAACCAACCATTTGAACTATGGACGTTTGGGTCCAATAGCTGTGAAGAACTGCAGGGCTTCTGTCGTGGAAAGTCGAACTTGTGCATGCAAGAAATGCTAGATCTTGCAGGCAGGATTCATAAGCTTGAGGAGCTGAAATCGTATGGTACAAGACAATGTGGAAATTAATTGTCGATCCCATGTTGGCCAGAAAGCATTGACGAGGAAATAAAATCTTGAATGGATATGGCGGAAAAAGAGGTCATAAAAACCCTTGAGTTGCTCGGTATGGTACCTGCCCTAATCAGAGGAAATGTGCTCAAGCAAGAAGGTGAAGACATATTGTGTATTAATGCACCGCGGTTTGACACATTTGCTATTTTTGATAGTCTGGAACCTGATGAAACCGAGGTGATAACTGATGAGGAGTTGCTGGAATTGGATAACGGGGTATTACTTGAAGCAGTAGAGGAGGATGGCCAAACACATGCTTTAGTCAACCTGGCAGTAGAGGCCTCTCTGTCTAGCCATAAGCAAGCAGAAATGGAAAGTGATGATGAAGACGACAAAGATGACAACCCAAAACATTGTGCCCTCTACTCCTCAAACGGGTGCTAGTATAGAGAGCCTCGTTTTAAGCGTCCACGCAAAACTTTATGGGTGGAATGTAGCTTTCCATCGTGCCACAACTGGTATCATGAAGTATGTCTTTCACTAAAGTTTAAAACAGAAGAGGGAAGGGAAGCATACACTCTAATTTGCCTAAAGCATTCAAAGATCAAAGAGCAGTTTCTCGATAAACTTGCGGCATTGTCATCAGAGAAACATTCCCTTCAGGATGAAAATACCGCACTCGGCCTTTACCTAAACGGCTTAGAAATCCGGCCAAAACAAGGAGTGCTGAGCATGGCATTGATGATTCAAAGAGACCAAACTATGTCCTATATGAAGGCCAATACTTTCATGTGGCGGAATTCCTGTCACTGCAAGAAGGGAAGGTGTACAGGCCGTCAGCATCACGACTTTCTCGTTGGATAGATTCTGCGAGGAATGACTTTCATGCAAAAGCATTTGAGTTTGTTAACCCACAATGAGTAGCAGCTGGGATGTATTTTTATGATATAGTAGCTATGTGGTTACCATCAGAAAGTTTGCATGTGGGTCACATTATAAGAATCATCCTCTCTCCGTCTCTTCAGTCACATTATCCTGTGTTCGAGTGGCGAACAGATGCAAAAGCCAATGAGAAAATCACTATGTGTGTGAGAGTGTTGAAGTGCCCATAACCTAAAAAATTTTATTTTTTTATCTGAAAGTACATATTAAGAGAGGAATTTCTGCGAAGAAATTTTGCGATTTGAACAAAACGTGATTTTTTTACGATTTTTTGAAGTCTACATTTCTGTGGCGCGCCCGTTCAGCTGACCATGACAACTGACCGGCTCATATGTGACGTCATGTGACGTAGCTTCAGGAACCTCACTTGTCGGATTGTACACAAACGAAGGCAAACATTGAGATCTTCACCGAAATGTCGTCGATAGAGGACAGTCTTTCTGAAACAGAAAGCTCACAATTTGGCAGTGAGGACGAAAAATCGATATAGAAGGAATAGATGGAGCGAGCAATCGATTTGAAGATGATTCGCTCGAACCATACGCGGACGAGCCTTTGGCGGACGAAGAATGGCTCGAAAACTACAGGCGAGAGCAGGCGGAAAACGCAGAATTGGAGAAAGAGCTGACGAAGCATCTTAATAACAGCGCGCGTGTTGCTGACTGGTAAGTTGATTTTACATACAAGCACTTGCAGTTGCCTTGAATGTTTGTATGTCTAAGTCGATTACATTGTACTGTGGAAATCACCAGCATTTAATGTAACTTTCTGAACGTTTTGTTTCAAACGTAGGTGTACTTGTGGAAAATGTGAGCCCGATTTGCTTACGAATATAAGCGAATGTTATTGTTGTAAAGAACTTGAAGGATGTGTCGAGTCCCTGACAAGTGAAATTGTCCTGGAAGATCTTGAGGAGGGCCAAGAGTTATGCTGTGTAACAGAACATCCCGGTTTCAGGCCAGTCTGCCTAGAAAAATGGAGTCTGCGGTTGGCGGGTGGGAAATATCGAACAAAAGCAAGAGAATACGACAAGAAGACTGGATCAGACGAAAGGTGAAACTGATTTCTCAAAAATAATTTTAACTTGATTGTATATTTATGAAGTATTTTTCAATTTGTTCAATATCAATAATAAAACAGGAACAGGCTGTTTTGTTCAAGTTTCAAAGTTTGGAAAATATTATTCACATTTGCCTATAGAACAACTTGTTCCTGTTTTGGTTTGAGTATAACATACCCCTATACACAAGAGATTTCTGAAAAATACCACCAATAATAAAGATTATTCGTCTTCTTTCTCTCTCGTGAATTAGAAAAGGATCCTGCCAGTCTAGAACTCTTGATTTGGTTCTTTGTAAACTATATCTATATTGGGTTGTTATTTTATTGTCTTTTTTAGATATCTCAGATCGATTGCATACAAGGAATTTACCGGACTTGTTCATGGATACTTGGGAAAAAGAAGGATCCCTCTTCCTGCCTGTGCCTACACTACGATTCGGAAAGCATTCCCAAGCAAAGAGGATGAACCAATGACAGGATTTCAATTAGACGAAGAATAGAAGACCAGATCCTTACTTCCTTTTGCAACAAAAAAAAAACTTTTTTCATATAAAAATAACACTACCAATTTCTTGTGACTATGATTAGTAGTGAACTTCTCTCCTTTTGAAATTTTATTCAACCATTTTGTGCTTTTTGTAATAAATATACAGTAGAACCCCGGTAACTCAAACTTGGATAAACTTTACACTAAACTTTGTTGTCCTTGATCAAAATTTACCCAATTGACCCCGATAACTCGAACCCCGGCTTCCTTTTCCCTTTAGAGTTCCAGTTACCAGGGTTCTACCTCCTATATAACTTATACTTGGCTGCTTGAGGGACAATAAACAAGAAAAAAATTGTTGTAAACAATTATACAGAGCAAATTTGACATCCATGTGATAAAATGACCTTTCTCCAAAAGAAACCATTTTTTTATAATTTTGTAGACGTGCCGTAGCAATAATTCATACCTGGCTGTGTGGGTAAATGAAACAAAATAAATCACCGTGAGGTTAGGTATAACTGACTCAAATATTATATTAATTTGTTTTATTCAGGTATGAATATTAATATATCAAAATATTATTGAGTCAACTTCTAGTTGTTTTAGACACAATATTCAGTCACTGTTTTGAAATGCACTATTTTCATCGCAAAGAAATAATTAGTGACATAATTTTGAAAGAATGTTATTAACTAGAATGGAATACAAACATTCCAACTCATTTATCTTATATTAATGTGCAAAATGTCATTAAAACCTAAGTAAAAGCACCAATATATGGCAAATGTAAAAAGGCTTCTAGATTTTTCTTAAGTCTCAAAATTTCATGTTGTAGACACTCATAGGTTTTCATTGTTTTCTTTTTTTTACATTGCAAGTCAATCCTTCCTATTTCTTGGACAATCAGTGATAGAATTATGGCCCCTCATAGGGTTCTTGCAGATAGAACATCGTGGCAGTGCTCTAGAAGGCTGTTGTCTTCTTTCACTTGATGTCGGATCTCGTGCTGCAATAAAGAAATGAAGGTGCTGTCATAATTCAGAAGTCATTATTATTTCACGAGTTCCTGTCATCCCTAAAATGCCTCCTAGTAGTGCTTTGTCATCATTCGACTAAGAACTACTAAGATACTAGTTTAGACATGTTACAGGGCACAGAGACTGTTATTAGTTTTGGTGAGACATCTCACCTCGGCTCGGAATAGTGAAGCCTGGAAAATTAACAGTAAACAAACCTGGTGCCTTGGGAGGTACATCCTTTGCAACCATTCTCATCCTCTCTGTCCGCTTCCTAATGGCCTCTTCCCTGGGTTGTTTTTCAAGCATGGAATTCATTGGATCTGGAACCATGTTCTTCAACTCAATGCATGCATCCTGCAGCTGTTGTTTGCTCAATGTCATAAAAAACTGGAAGAGTTCTCCCACATAGTCTAGACAGTAAATGAGACAAAAACACATGTTTCCAGAGTGTATATTAAAAAATTACTAAAAAACTTCAATAACAATAAATTAAATATCAAATCTATCTAACATTAAAATTCTACTCTACAAATGATAGTAAATAAATACCAAAAATGGGCTTGATCTTTAGATTTCTCACAGTAGCCTCTCCATTTTTAAACTTTGGGTAGGTCACTTTCAAAGGGACACTTCCATCTTTGTTCACTTTCTCTTCTCTGTGTAAATTATAGTTAAAGTGCAGAGCAGCTAGTATATGCCTAGAAGAGATAAAATAGAAAAAGTTGGGGTATAATAATATATTCTGTATAGTATTGTGTCAGCTGTGGAAACAACTTCTCAATGAGACGAGAATAATAATTAGCTGGGATTTTTCCCTTGGACCGATCATTAAGTGTCTATTATTAAATCCTATCGATCTTATTAGCCAAACTTGTACTCAAAACCAACAGATCTAAATTGCATTAGTGACCTAATGACCAAGAGAATACTGATACCAATAGTGATTATTACACTGTACACAGTTCAGCCTACCTGCAGTACATTCCAAGATAGGAATAAGCAATGATCTTTGGTGCAAAAAAGTTGAGAACAGAGTGAAACCCTTAGAGACAGTCAGTCTGAGCACTTGGGGATGCTTGCATGATTCCTTTTTTTAGGCTGTCGGCAGTCAAGGCCTTTTTCGTCTTCTCATACAGTATGTCCTCTAAAAATAAAATTGTAAATTAAAGTGTGAGAAGTTTACTTTGCCCTCTTCTGCACCTAGATTTACATGTTCAAGGAGACCATTTGGAGATCTCTGCGATGTCTCAGAAATTTTAAGTTGAATACAATGATGGAAAGACAAGTTAATAAGGCAGGCCTTTTGGAACCATGTAACATTAAAAAAAAAAACTATCAACTGTACCAGGATCAATCCATGTCCGATCAGGAATATCTCCATGTGCGCACTTGTTGAAGAGAGGCTCATCCAAGTCGGTGTGTCTATTCACAATGTGGCTCAGAAAAGACTTGAATTTGGCCCATATGACCTTCCCATTTCCATCAGACGTAGTAGTAGCACTCCAGTACAGGTGTCTTTCACAGGGCTTTATCCAAGGCCGGAGATGCTCATTTCCTTTCTCCTTGGAAATTTTGGACAGCAGTTTAGTGATCTCTTCAGGAACAGAGAAACAGTAAAATCAGTTTCACCTTTAAGGTTGATAAATGATAGCAGTCTAATTCATATCCAAGATTATACTGTTAAGTTAAGTATCTTTTGAACATTAAAGTGCTTAAGCTAAGTCATAGTTATTTATAACATTGCGTTTATATGATGTGTAGATACAAAATGGTGGCAAATAATGTTTTCGTACAGTGTTACTGCTCGAGGAAAGTCATACCCCTACAACAGGAGTTTTTAAAAAAGTACTTTAGATTTGTGCTGAAAAATGTTGAACATAAACAACTAGAGAAGAAAGTCATCATTACTCTTTTTTAGATGCCAGAGGTCAAAGTAATGTTTGATATGTGTCAAAACATGCTTCATGTGACTTGCAATCTGGGTGTGCCGGTCTGAAATAAATGCAGTGATGACAAGGCCACATCCAAGCAGAAAATCAATGCACTTCTGGAATCCCATAAACTCCATGGCTGGGCTGCTTCCGGCTTGATTTCTCTGCCAGAAATTTAATACGACGCATGAGTTGAAACCCTGAGCAGGTACTAGCATAGCAACTGGCTTGCAAACATTGACTAGTGACTTGAAAGTAGTAACTCATATCTCAGTTACATCTGATTGTTAGAACAAACAAAAAACAAGAAACAATTAAAAACAAGAAATTTACACCAGCCTTCAGTTGCATTAGTACAGCTGACATGGGGTTGTACATACTATATGGCTAAAAATGTACCAGCAAGCAAATGATTATACCTGTACAAGTGCAAAATGGATGATCCGTGGCAATGTGCAACAGAAGATGGTGTAGCCACCGTATTTAGCACAGTGGCCCATGCTATCGTGCCTTCCATCTCCTGCTATTGTAAGATCCCCCAGAATCTTGAGCTGAGAGAACAAGTTTGCTTGGTAGCGCTTCCTAAAGAGATGTACAGTGGGGAACAACCAAGTCTAAAATTTGAGTTGAAAACAGGTTTAGAAAGATATCTATAATGATATTGTATAATAGGAAAAGTAGGAAAAATAAAAAAAAATCCATCTCAGTATAGATGTAAAACCAAAACTGAAAAAAAAAATTCAACCTCGAAGAAATAGATTGTTGCATAACCAACAGCAAATTTACAAATGCTTATTGAATAACATTTTGTACAGGAAAACAGGTTACCCGTTGGTGCTTGAAGAAAGTATTTAATGACACACAGGCCAGTCCCATATGCTGGAATATGGTCTTCATCTTTGTGAAGGACCCACCAGCAAATAGTGTAGCCATGCAGATGAGGAAATTCCCAGCAGGTAGCTTGGTCCCTGGCATTAAAGGTTGACTGGTCCAGGTAAATTCCTTCCTGCAACCAGGGTTGCTGCATGTTGACCTGATGGTGACTGCGGTTCCAGACTGAGTTGCTGTCACATCTGGCTTGTTTCCAGTGCGGCAGAAATGGCAAAACTGGAAGAGCAGAAGGAGCTTGGATAGGAACACGATGTGTTTCGGTTCCGTCCTTATGTCATTGTTACTTGATAGTGGAATACTACAATAAAGACAGAGAAATGCACACAATGTACAATATAGGAACAAAACTTCAGTGGCCTTCAATGCCTTTTAAAGCAAGAACCATATTCTATTTTTGTAGGAGTAAAATTGTCAAACAGGGTACTGGAATCTCAGTGAGTCCCTGACCTTACTATTTCAGGCGGGGATCCAGACCGCCGCCTGGTTAGCTCAGTTGGGAGAGGACCGGTCTGCTGAGTGGGAGGTCGTGGGTTCAAACCCTGGCCGGACCAACACTCAGGGTCTTTAAATAACTGAGGAGAAAGTGCTGCCTTTGTAATAATATCTGCAAACGGCTAGACTTTCTAGTCTTCTCGGATAAGGACGATAAACCGTAGGCCCCGTCTCACAAGCCCTTGCACATGTATTAAACCTGTGGGACGTTAAAGAACCCACACACTCTTCGTAAAGAGTAGGGCACGTAGTGCCCGGTGTAGTGGTCTATCTCACTTTCACACTCATGTATGGGGGCATCATTACTCATTCCTTCATTACTTGTAAACTGCACCTTAAGCAGTCTGGCAAAGTCCCCCAACCAGTCTTGTAAATTATCCCTGAAAAGCCCTGAGGGGAGTGGATAATAAGATATTTACAATTTACAGTGGAGGGGCCTGTAGCCCCCTATTTTTAGACAAAACTGAGGGCTGAAGGGCTGCAAAAAAATTTTTTGAGACTATATAAGGTCTAGTTATAATCTGTAAAAATTCTTATGATTTTTACCTCCTGTCATTTGTTTCCTTGTCTTCATCCTCTGTTTCTGTATCCCCTCCGCTTTCACTAAAGAACTCTGCATCACTGGAAAAGTCAGGTTCTTCCTCTGTCGTTTCAGTGTCATTCTCTTCTTCAATATCTTTTTCTTCACTGATACATGTATCTTGGTTGCTAGTGTCAGAAGACTCCTTACTCTTTACATTTTCTTCTAACCCGTTGTTTGCAGCCTCCTGAAGTTTTCGAGTCAACAACTCCACTAATAAAGAAAGTGTGGATGTCAATAATAATAATTATAAAAATAAAATTCCCTCAGCAAAGAATAGGTTTGAGGAACAAAAACCTCAAAATTAAATCTCTAAGATTATGTGATCATACAAATAACACATACATGTAAATAGGGCATCACATGGCTGAGGCTTACCTGTACGCTTTAGCTGCCTTTTTTTGTCTTTTGATGTCTTCAGGGATTGTCCCACTGCACTAAGCTGGCCTTTTAAAAGTTCCATTTCATGGCTGAGGATACTGCATCTCTGATCTGCCAGTGTCTGTTGATTTATCCTGCATTATAAAATTAAAAAAACTACGGTTTATTTTTTAAAATAAATACCAAGAATATCATCCTGTAAGAAAGAAATGAACACTTATTATTATCATTATCATTATCATTATTACTATCATCATCATCAACATCTAATCATTATTATTATTATGTTTATAATTACAAAACAGGATACATACCACTTGTGTAAAAGGTTCGCTCTCTTCTGCTAGTAATGTCCTAATCAGGAATATCAATAACAAGTTATTAATTGACAAGGAATTAGTCATGACCATCCATTGCACTCAAACTATAGAAGATTACACAGCATCTCACCTCCTCCGATTGACTGCTTGTAGAGGGGTTGATCTGGATATCTTGTGAGTTTTCAGCTTGTATGGTTTGTGCCTGCAAATATTCAATAGTACCCAACATAAGAGCTTACACAAGCACACCCAAGTATACCCTGCAGTTGAAATTCTTACCGCCTGAATGCTTGTGGAAGGATAAACAATGCTTGTCGCTTCTGGTTCTTGCAGTGTTTTGAGGCGAGCCTTCGCAGATCTAGCAATCTGTGAAAAACAGCAAAACAATTGTGTTTTCTTTAACTTTCATGGTACGGGGACCAATTATTAATCACAGAAAGAAAAATCACATGAAATGTCTCGAGCAGGTGTGACAATACTTTCTTACCATTCGCGCTTCCCTTCTCTTTTTAGATGGTGGCTGGTCATCTTCTCCTTTCCGTTTAGCGTGTATTGATGGGAAAACACAAAACCCAATTTCATCTTTCTTTAAATCCCGCTTTAAGTTGACTTCTTTGTTTAACGGCCTTTGAAAGTCGTCTGGAGCAAAGTGAACGGAACACAACGAGGAGGTCTTCCCCGGCACCCACATCGTCCTCCTCTCCAATACGAAGTCGACCCACTTCTTTTGCCTTTTCTTTTTACTCGGACACACGTCGCCGAAGAATGGAATTTTATGCATGGATATATTCCTAGCTGGGTCTTTTACGTTGCCACAACGCGCTGCAACGCATTAGGCATTATAAATCTCGGCTTGGGAAGAAGAGATGTAACAGGCCGAACTGATACAAGTTCCTGAAGCTACGTCATCATACGTCACGGATACTATCTGGCCGAGAGGAGACTAATACGAATGGTGGACCAAAATGGCAGCAAATTTCGAGACTTTAAAAAATCATAAAAAAATCATGTTTTGTTCAAATCGCAAAATTCTTTCGCAGAAGTTCCTCTTTCAATGTGTACTTTCAGTTAAGAAAAGAAAATTTTTTAGGTTATGGGCACTTTAAATTTCCAGAAAAAAAAGGAAGATGAATGGGAGTTGTCAACCACTGACAATTTCAAATGGTGCAGTGTCAGGTCGATACTGCAAGTAGTGGGAGCAGTTGACGACGGAAAATGGCCAATACATGTTGATTTGTCTCAGGTTGTCAAGCAGGTCCCCACACTAAAAGAAATGGACAAAGAGAGAGCGGTGAGAGAAGAAATACTCAAAAAGAAAGAACGAGAGCTATGAAAGGAAGGCAGCGCCGATGACATGACGCTGGCACTACTGCGCGAGGTACTCGATGAAATGAATGTGACGTATTGAAAAAATGAGAAAAAGGCGGATTTGGTGAGGAAAGTCAAAGAGGCAAGATCCACCGCAATTGATTCCACCCAGGATTGTCATGGCGGTTCAGAACATACCCCAAAATCTAGCAGGAAAACATCAAAACTAAAATGGCCCATCGCTTACTACTATGATGAAAAAAAGGAACGTCTTTTTTATCTTTTGCTGCATATTTTCTTTCTTGTAGACACCATTGGCCCCTTCATAGAATTTTTAGTTTGTATGTATGTGATCTTTGTTTTAAGCACGAATAGGTTCGTAATTACAAGGCTAGGTATGGCCGCTTTTTTCATCATTTTGCAACAACTCATGCTGCTGTTGTTGGCAATTTCATTGTTTGCAAAAGTACAACTTCTGTTACCAGAATTTTTCTGTGAAAGCACGATGCAACCACTTTCCGTTTTTTGAAGTCAAAAGGTTGGCCCGTGGAACAAACTTTTAATTTGTCAAAAATAAAACCAGATTCCCGTGGACGGGCCGTTAACATTAATGAGAAAGAAGAGAAATTGTTCTCCTGTTGACATGAAAATGAATGGTGTTTACAATTACTGTGTACAAAGTGTCAATTCCGTTTCCGCCAATCTACAACCAATCAATACCAACTGATCTATCGATTGGTATTGATAATCGATACCAATCGATAACCACACGAATCTTTGCCATCGATTGGTCATCGATTATCAATATCAATCGATTAATTGATATCGATTGTCATCAGTTATCGATTCCATTGATTGGATACCCCGGGGAAAACGCATGCATTGAGGAAGCACTACCCTAACTTTGTTACCATGGTTACCAACATTTAAATGAAAAAATGAGTCTTGGCTTTACTCTTTCCTTTTATATCCTTTTTTCTGAACATAGAAAATTGAACATTCTTTTTGTGTAGGCAGCCTATTGTTTGTAGAGTCAAACAAGCAAAAGAAGGGAGGGTGCTGGTTTTCATTTAGAAGCTATGCCATCATGTTCTGTTCTCAGGCAGGCAGGCCCATTTCTCTTTCCAGGAAAAAATTGAACTGCTCTTTCTTCGTATAGGTCTACTCTTTGGTTGGTAAGTGACAGCTTAAAGGGTTGCTTTATCTGGGCTCCTGATTGAAGACAAAATGATGAAAAATGGTTGCCATGCCAACCAAATTAATGTTACTTTGGTACAATAAAAAGAACAAGCAATACTGAATCTGACACTGCAATATAACACTAATTATAACTTCCGAGAAATTTTGCCTGTTATATAATATTTGCATGGCTTTCTTAATGAAGTAAGTCACTTTAGCTATCTGGCAAGATAAGCCAAAACATAATGGGGCCCAGCCCAGCCCACCCCCCTCCCCCAAGTATGTGACCAAGTGGTATAAGTTTTCATTTTGTTTTTGACACTTAGTTCATTAATGCAAATGCTCAAAGTTCTTATTACAGTGATCAGCATTAAAAGGTTTTGCATTGTGTGCCATGAATAAACACTGTTGTCTTGCTTCAAGCCATTGCAGAAGATCTGATAGGCCTGCTCTGAACATGTTCAAGAAACTGGTTTTCCATCATAGTGAAGAACCCCACCCTTCACAGTCAACTTGTTGACTGCTCATGCAGCTAAAGTTATTAGGAACGATATTAACATGGAATGTATTCTTTCCTTCTGCTGCAGGAATCTCGCAAATTTCAGCGTCATCACTTGCCAAAATTAATGAGAGAATTTTAATTGTTAAATAGTTTGGTCTTTGGTCTTTGGTCTTTGGTGGAGTTCATATCAGACACCTTTACGAGGTACCTTTAAAACACTTCAGGAATTATGGTTCATTGTGTCTTAACATGTCTTTGTCGATTATGTCTTAAAGTTTATAGTAGGGTGCACTTCGTTCTCCATTATGGCTAAGAATATGCAATGTAAGCATTTATGTCGTGCTGTTTGGACTTCAGTTCCTCTGTTTGGGTGTGCATTGTATTTCCGCAACTCAATATCATGCTAAAGATGGAGGTAATAATAATAATAATGGTTTATTAACAGTGTATCCACCTAGTGGCTCTTCACCTGTTAATAACTACAATATAAAACAGAAAAACTATAATATACTACAAAAATAAAATTGAATTGAAATCTACAATATAAAAAAAGCAAAAATATCGGACTATAAAAGGATATCGTATAGAAAATAAAAATGTTTTAAAGATTAGTAATATTAATACAACCCTATATACAATTTACAAACTATTTACAAATGGTATTCAATAGATAGGCATTAACTTCCCTACAACTAACTTTGAAGTCCCTACAGTTTCTAATATTTGCCGGAAGGACATTAAATAACTTGGCAGCAGAGTCTTGAAAAGTGCCCCTCTCCATTGGTATAGTTAATCTTGTTGCTGCTCCTGACCGCAAAGACCGCAGATGTTTAACTGTATGTAGTGGTACGTAAGACTGCCAGTTGGGGGAGTACAAAGCCTGGTGAACGAGTTTGAGAACGTGGAAATCTCTTCGCTGTCTTACTGGTAACCATCCTATCTTAGCAATATCGTTCATGTCGTTTACATACCTATTCAGGACAAAACTAGCAGCTACTAGCTGGACACGTTGTAAACGTTTTAGTCGAAATTCTGTCAAAGGGTAATAGACAATGTCACAATAGTCAAGTTTGACAGCACCAGTGACTCCACTAAGTGCTTTCTGAGTCTATAACCAGCAAAGTTCTTAAGTTTTCTTATTATTTGTATTGTTCTGTAACAGCTCTTGCATGCTGCTTTCGCGTGCTTTTCCCAAGTAAGATGCTAATGGAAATAGGCATCAAGAAGCTTACTTAAATTTACATGTATTAATGTACTATCTGAGATTGTAATAGCTGGTCAGTTCTTATCTAAACTATGTACATGTGACATCTGGCTGGTGGATAGCAGCATCGTCTTTGTCTTCTTCGAGTTAAGTGCTAGATGGGAGTCGTTAGACCAAGAGCTCACAGTGTTTAGTGTGGAGTTCTTGCACACATGTTTGTAGCTCAGGAGCTGGACAGCTGGAGTATATTGTAGTATCGTCAGCGTATTGAAATGAACCAATCCAGGAAGAGAGATGATCTTGCAGATCGAAAACTCAGAGATTAAAAAACATTGGGCCGAGGATCGACCCTTGTGGAGGTATAAAGTGAGTGCTTTATTTGTTTTTGAGAGTGTCTTAAAGGTAAGAAATGATGTAATTGTTAAAGGATTCCCACATTTGGAGGATTGCAATTCCTCTGGACTTGTAATGAAGCAAAGAAAGGAAAGACTGTTTTTTGGATTGCAACTCCTCTGAATCTACCAAGGACCTTTTCCAGGGGATTGTTAACCCTGGAAAGCAGTGAAGACTTTTTTTCTGGGTGTGATTGCAGCCCTAAACAGTTTGCATGATGTTGCATAAAGTTCGTTCCGAACTCCTTGCCTTATGCAACGTATATATTGTTGTCACTGTTTCAATAACTGGGTTGAAATCATAAATAATGCAGTTATTTTTAGTAGCTTACAAGCAACAATCATGAGCATATGCATTCTGATTTATCGATAACAATGTTGACAATTTTCTCAGTATGGATTGGGTTATCACATCTTAGTATCTGGCCCACTAGATAGATACACCAGTTGCATCCAGTTTGTGTAAATTATGTATAACTGTTAGTCCATTGATTGTGCTTAATTTACAGACTGATCCTTTGTTTTGTTCTTGTTATTGCATATCTCCTCATCTGTCTCCCATCTGCTATGGAGGAGGTCTTAGGCTGCTAACAAACTTGTTGCTGTTCCTGTTTGAATCCTCAGCTGATACCTCCTCGACGTGACATTTGCGCATTCTAATTTTACATGCAATGTTTCAAGTGACATTTGACTCTGGAAATAGCCATACAATTCCTGTTGTTTGTCCCCTTCGGGGTATTTAGTGGGGATGAAGTGCTCCCATACATGTCACCCTTTGCCCTATAGACTCTTGTTACTCCTTAAACCAGGGAAGGAGACATCTAGAGGTTTTTCCACCTCTCCAGTACCCAAGGGGGATTATCACCTCCAAACACAACCTTGGGGGATTATCACCCCCTAGAGAGTATTGTCACCTCTCCCATTGTGGATTTCAGATTGTTACATCAATATGTAGAGATAAGTGACCTGCTGTCCATATTTGGAGTAGTCGCGGTTATACTAGCCGTTTTACCCATGGGTAAATAGCGTTTGCCCACGGGAAAAGACTTTTTTGTGTGTAACCGCTTTTCCCAGACCGAAACTGCCCTAGGGTTATTTCCATGGATACATCAAAAAGAACAAAAGAACTTCCCATGACAGTTCCTGAACTGTAAAGTACTGTTTATCTGCTCCCTGAGGTGGCTTGGCCAATCATAAAGCAGAACGCAGCTAATACAGGAAATCGCGTGAGGCGCTCTGAGGTGACCTCTGAAGCACTTGGCTATTTTCGCGCCTTCTTCTAGCACGAGGCAACATGGCAGGGTTTCGTGCATCACTGTGAGTATTTCTTTCTTTATTTATTTTCATGAGTTTGCCCTTCAGACTGGCAGTTACGAAGTTGATTAAATTATAATCTTTCTGTTTATCTGTTTATAGGAACTCTAGTCAAAATGAAGATCCCTATTACAACGGATATTTATTTGCGGCACGAAATCAAACAAGGCCGCAGGGAATCAACAACACCGGTAATACCCTGTATGGTGTTAGGATGGCTCAAAATCAGCCTCCACTGCATTATCCAGCAATGTTAAATCCCTACCTGATTTACCAGAACCCTGTACCCGGTACTAGCAATCACCTTCAGTTTGAACCAGACAGGGTCAGCGCTAGTCCAACTCCAAGTGAATCCTCGAACCGAAGCGACGATCGTAACAAGCGCAGTAGCTGGTCGTTGACCGAAGAGAGATGCTTAATTGCTGCTTTTAAGGAGTACTACGATAGACTTAAATCTACAAAAAGCAGTCAAGCCAAAAAAAAACATATGGGAAGATATTTTGAAGCAGTTTCGAAGTATGTGCTTTGACAATGGCGTGGAATTTGAAAAATCATTAGCGCAGTTAAAGGAGAAGTGGCGGGCGCTCTTGGATAAATAGAAAAGCGTATTTGATAACAACAATCGCACGGGAAGGGAACGTAAAACGTTCAAGCACTATGAAGACATGGACGAGTTTATGGCTTCATCAGACAAAGTGAATCCAAGATTTGTCAAGGAAATGAAAGCCCACCGACAGGATTGTAGCTCTGATGATACCGACGATATTTTATCGACCGGAGATCAAGATTGCAGTAAGAAACCAGAGAAACGGCCGCCCAGCTCTGCTAGAGGCGATCGTGTGGATGCAGAGAAAACTGGAAAAACTGGGCAAAAGGATGAAAAAGGACCAAAAAAGAAGAAGAAAAGGCTTAGCGGCGATGACATGGAGCTAGCAATCCTTGACATGATGAAGTCACAGCAAGAAGCCATCCAAAGATCCGAAGAGAATGACGAGAGAGTTTTTGAAGCTCTCCTCAAATCTCAGGCAGAAGCGCAGCGACAACACCAAGAATTTGTTGTGTCTGTGTTAGGAAAACTCGGAGACATATTTGCTTCCAAAAAATAGGTTTAACTCAGCGCTTTTATTCCAAAGAAAAAAGGAACTGTTTACATGATTGTTGCAAAACTGCAAAAAGAAATTTTAATTGATCTTGAATAGTATTTTGGACACTAAAATACACAGTGCTGTAAAATGGTTACAACCACTGTTTCTTAAGTATAATAGACGTTACAGTTGTTTAGCAAACAGAATTTTTATATTTCCTGTAATTATCCCGTGTAAAATTCCACACCATTTTTGATTGATTTTATATTACTATATATATATACATATTTATTCAATCTGCTGTTACTTTCAGGTTTGGATCAATGGGATCAGATATATGATTGCTTAAATAAATTGCAAAGCAAAATATAATTATTTCATAACCTTCTATAATTTGGGACGCAAAGAGGATAAAATCAAGGGGATACGTGTCTATTGATTTGCAACGTATTGAACAAGGGCTTGTAGAACCGCAGCTGCAGCCTGGGAGGGGGGGCCGCCGTCGTCATCATCATCATCATCACTATCATCTATGTCGAGTTCATCTCCTCGTAAAACGCAAATATTATGTAGAACGCAGCAGGCGATGATAGTGTCAGGTATTCTGTCACTCTCTTCGTCTAGGCGCTTAAGTAATACCCTCTACCTTCCTTTGGTCATACCAAATGCATGTTCGGATACTATTCTCGCCTTGGATACCTCGGTTGAAATTCCTCTGGTCGCGCGTAAGCCCACCGTTATCCTTAAATGGTCGGATGAGCCAGGTTTTGTTTGGATAAGCAGTGTCTCCCACGATAAGTGGGCGCACTACAGTTCCGCCTAAGGCAAATGTAGGTTCCATCAGGATATTCTCATCTTCAGCAGCCCAATAAACGTCAGTTAAACACAGCATCCGAGCATCATGTAGACTTCCAGGAAAACCAGTGGCCACGGATAAATAGAGGGCAGAGGCATCAACTATTCCCTGTACTAAAAAACTGTAGAAATGTTTCCGCTTAAAGTAGTCTTCATGGTTAATTTTCGGGGCCTTAATAGGTACATGGCTTCCATCTATTGCTCCAACTACATTAGGTAATTTACTTTTATTGTCGAAGCCTTTCATTTTTTTAGCTATCTCTGCTGCAGTAGAAGGAAATTTGATAAACTCATCTTGAAGTCGGCTTATTTCTTGAACAAATTCATGGCAACACTTTACAACGGTCGGTTTTGCCAACCCAGCCATCAGTCCACACGAGCGGTAGCACTCTCCAGTAGCTAGTCGCCAGAGGCTTGCACCGACGCACTTTGGAACTGGAATGGCATCTCGCATCCTAGTGTTTTGCCGCTGGAGCGCCGGCCTAACGAGCTGGCATATATATTCAAAGGTATCGCGCGAAACTCTAACGTTTTCTTTCCACCAGTGATCCAGTGCATTGTTATTTAGAAGTTCCTGAAACCAGTTCTGTGGTTGTGGAAATACCCAAGCTCTTCTAGGCCAGCGAGCAAATTGGCGACGAGCTCGTAAATTTAAATACAATGCTGACAAACCTTGCAGGTAGCGTAATCGAAAGGGCCTTCTTCGGTGTCTTCTCGCAAAAAACTGCTGGACTGTTATGTTTATGGAAGACTGTCGAATTATAAGCAGGAGAATCACTGAAATTAAGCTTACTAGATCTTGATTCGTGTCATCCATGTTGATCTCCACTTTTCCCGCCAATTCGCAGGGTCAGTTAGCTCATATCTAATTATATTTTACCCTGAGGGGTGTCTTTTACTGTGTAACCGCGTCCCCAAGGGTAAAGTGAAACCTGAGCTAAACCAAACCCAAGCCATTTACCCTCTGGAAGACCCCAAACCCAAGGTGTGTGTAACCACTACTAGTGCTTTATCCCTTACCCCTTTTCGCCACGGTAATTTGGGTCTAGTTATTTGTTTTTATCTGAAGGGTTATGGGTTGGGAGCATTAACTATGATTTCGCCACGCAAGACAGTTCTAAGCAAAAACAGTTTTCCTTTGCCTCGTTACAAGTCACATGCAGTGAAAGCAGAGAAGCAAAAAAAAAAGGAAAAAATCTGGCCAAGTTCCTTTACTATGATTTTGTGACGCAAGACTGCTAAAGAAAAACGATCTTTCCCTTGTTTCATTACAAGTCGCGTGCAGTGAAAAAAAATGGAAAAATCTGGTCGAGATCCTTTACTATGATTCATCTAGACGAGACATTACTAAACAAAAGGGGTCTTTTCATTTGTGTTGCGTGCCGTGAAAGAAATAGAAGCAAAAAGATACAAATAATAACCAGAATAGGAAAAGATAACACCAGATTTACCTTAACTATGAATTTTTCTATTTAATTTACACATCAAAATTCCAGTACATTGTAAGTTTCGGTGTCAAAAAATCATCAAACTACACATTAAAATAGTGCAAAAATGAGTTCTCTTGAAGTATAATGATTATCATGTAAAAAGAAAATGTTCAACGCACGGGAGCAACTAGAAGCTTGGCAAATTCGTATAGTGAAGAAATATAGCTCAGTTTGCAAGATTTTTTGATAATACCAAAACAACTATCGGGGCCAAACTTAAGGTGTCCTGCAATCAAAAAAGAGTATCTATTCGAATGATGAAGCTGTAGTATAGTCCTCCAAGCCAAGTACCACATAAAATAGTTGTTTTTGTTTTGTCCTGAACAGATATCAGCATGAAGATGAGCAGAAGTTTCTGTGAGTCCATGATGTTCAAAATAGTGGTGGACATAGCTGATAGTAGTGTTTGCCCCTTTACTGACGTCACTGGCCTCATCAACCAGATAGTTTACCTGCTGAGGGATGGCTTTTGCACATCACTCCAAAAAGAGCACATTTACACAGTGTTTTAAACTAGATAGGCCCAGGCTGCATTGGATTGCTGGGTGTATGTACTTGCGTAGTAGTTCTCAGCATACACAATTTGTGAGATTCTTCAAGGTCTATTTGGTCTTCCAGTTCCTCAAAACTGCATTTTGCCTTTTCACAAACCTGTCTATAAAGTTCTCTCTCGGTCTGCACTGAATTTAAATGTGGTTGTCACGCTTGGACACATTGAGATTTTTCTTCTTCTGGAAGATTGGCTCAAACCAGCTTCAAAGTATTTTGCTGGCACGTGAAACACAACTCAGTCATAGGCTTTGCCATGATGACATTTTGATGACATCGGAAATTTTGTGTAACACACAGCTTGCTTGTTCGACTCCTCACAAGCTCTTGTAAAACATTTCCACACGTGCACTTTGGTTTCATTCGATGAAAGTAATTGGATGTCTTCATTTTTAAAACCAGGGATTCTTCCTGGAAGCAGCGCTGCATTTTCATCCAGAAAATTGTGCAGAAAATTTTTTTACATCCTCGTCAATGGCAACTGTGAGCGCAGTGTGTGGTAGACTGTTATTGTTGCTGTGAATTCGCTGAGAAATACCATGATTTTCGTCATAATCTAGAAGCCTCTGAAAACGGGACTTGCTGATTCCATAGGGGTTGAGAAAAATCTCCTTACAGATGGGTTGAGAGTGGTACAGAAAGCTGTATGGTGGACTTCTTTATCTTTTTTTGCCAGTTTCTTCAGTCGAAGTGAAAGCTTGAATGTTTGCCAACACAACCAAGTCCAGTTCTGTGTGGAACAGTTCCAGGCAGTTGTACAGATTAAACAAAACGGTTTCACTGTAAATTGACTGAATACCTTTCGATCCTCGACGACATCCACATCCATCGTCAATAAACTTTTGTACTTTAGCAATGATATTTTCCTTATTTTGCACATGGAAATCCATCTTAACTCTTCTTGATTCTGTTCTTTTGCGATGAGATGATGCCAGTGGTTACCAAGACTATGCATTTCTATTAGTTGCCTGAGGGCCGAAGAGTCATCTGCAAGAACAACTGAACCAGAAACGAACGATACTAAACTTGAAGTCTAAGCTGTGTTGAGTTTTCTTTTGTATTTCAAAACTTCACACACGTCACAGAGATGTTATGATTTATTACGGCTGTTGTTTTTTTCTTGAAACTATGACTTTCAACGCAGTATCAGTAACATGCACCAATCCACACTGGTTTACTTCTTCAGTGAGATTTAATGATAAGAATGTTAGATTCTTGTAGCCGTATGCGAGCAGGACTTGGGATATCATTATTTCGGCAGATGATCTTTTTGTTGACAGTTGGATTCAACTTGACAACGAAGAGAAAAAGTTCCACATAACTCATTTTTAATTTTCGATTTGTGTGGAAACGACCTAAATAACTGAGGCTGTCTAGTAATTGAAAAAGTCTACAAACGTCCGTCACATGGTCCCATCACACAACGCTTCACCGCACATTCAAATTCCCAGTGGGTCAAATTTCAACCAAAATTTGTATAAAGTTATGTGAGCACTATGCATCTTGCTTTTAAAAAACTTTTAACAGAGTTGAGGGGTTTTCCTGATGTAGTTTTTGGAAAAATTACAGTCCCAAATAGAGATGCATGTTCGCAAACAGTAGTTATTGTTGATACGATGCAATAGAAGTTTCATTCCAGGAGAAACAGGACAGCCTCTTGTGAAGTGCGACTGTTTTGAGAGATAATTGTCTGTGTAAGCCTCTCAGTCATTTGGGGAATCCTTTTGGAAATTTTGATGAGCCGTTCACACTGGTTGGTAAGCCATTTGCCCTTTTGCGTTAGCTGTTCAAAAAACTTAATAACCTGTTCAGTTTTTCGATAAACCAGTTCAAATGGTTGAGTGAGCCGATCGCTCATTCGTTCGCCATTCAAAAAACTTGACAACCCGTTCAGTCGTTCAATAAACCCATTCGAACGGGTGAGTGAGCTGTTCGCTTGTTCGTGTTTGCCATTCAAAAAGCTTGATAACCCGTTCAGTCGTTCAATAAATCCATTCGAATGGGTGAGTGAGCCATGTGATCGTTCCTGTTTACCATTCGAAAAACTTAACTACCCATCCAGCTGTTCGATGAACCCATTCAAACAGATGAAAGAGCTCGTTGCAACCCATTCGGAAGCCATGCGTT